CCTGGCAATAGACTGACCATCATGTTATAAAGGAAGGGGGCGGGGAGGGGGGAGGTTGGGAAGAACACAGAAGAGGGACACGAAAGAGGAAAAAAGTACAATGTGAGACGAGGACGAATGTCGCTTCAGTGGCCTCATTTGATAGACGGGAGTCGAGCTTGTCCCCCTGCATCATGTGCACCCACGAGTGGCTCGTTTGCAACTTTCATGATTGCTTTCGACGCATTAGCGTTGATAGAGGTTGACACAGACTAATAGTCGGCCCTTTTACCCTGCATCGAGATGAGATGCTGCTTGCATCCTTTTGGTCTCGCTGCAGAACTCGTTTAATGCCGCGCTCCCGAGTGGAGTGGACTCTCTGTGGTGGAGAAAAAAAAAAGCCCGAGGCAGTCCCATCACCCCGCTCCCCCTCCTCAACCTCGCCGCCCCACAACTGTCCCCCACATCCAGCACCATCGCGCGTTTCCATCTCTGCTATGATGGAAGTGATGGCGATTTCTTCAGGGTATAGGGAGGACGCTGGCCCTTTTCTTTTTTTATTTCTTAGCCCGTGTATCGAGTGCGGCGTACAAGCAATCGGAACATCGAGGCGAGACTAAAAGACTTAAACAGATTCATTCAAGCGACACAACATGTGATATAACATGTCAGGGTGATAATTAGGATTCTACCCTAAGCAGAGGAACACAGGTATGTTCAGGAAAACAAACAGCCCCAATGTCAAGTCTGTTGACTTTTATAGGAAGGAAAGACCCAAACGGAGTCAATTATACAAATAAAGTAAACATGTTGACAGGAGAGGTGAAACTGTGTTTTGACTGCTCCTGTCAGGGGATGCTCCCGTGTCTAAGGTTTATACAATAAATGATTATGCTCMAGGAATCCTGCTCTGAATACGTGTCTGCTAAGTCTGCGCCTGTCTCCATGTGTTTGGATGTGCGCACTCAGTGATCAACTTCAGCTAAATACTAATTACTGAATACTTAGTACGGATGCCCTTTCAATTGGGTCCCTTTAGTATAAACATTCATTATGGCTCGTTTTCGCCTTTGTAGCTCCATCATCATTATTCCACCGCATCCCCCCGAGGAGCGAGACGGAGCTGAGGCCGGGGCCAGGGCTGGACCAGGCTGGGGCAGAACACACAGCAGAACCAGAGCGCCAGGACCTGGGAATGCACACAAGTGATATTTGTGCGAGGAGATCAAAAAGCATTTACCTTTAGATGTTTCCCTGATATGAATATTCAACAGCCTTATTGAAATCTAATTTGGGTCTCTTTCTTTCGGGGGTCTTTTCATCAGCGCCTGTTGCCTGAGGCCACAGCTGATTGACAGCCAAACTTTAGTAAAGAGCACGCGGGGGGAGAAATTAAAAAAAAGAAAAAAAAAAAGGAAGATCTGGTGGTGTTGGAAATGTGAGCGGTGCAAAGCTGGAACAGATGAGTGGCGGAGTGCTGTGTTGGGGGGGGAGGGGGGTCTCTCAGTCAGACTGGGCTGGGGTATTTAACCTCTTTATGTGCATGCACAAACAGAATGCTGCAGATTATTATGACCTGTAATACTGGATTAACAACAAAACTAACAGCATTTCGTTATTATTAGGTTATATTGGAGTTCGGTTCGTTTTATAATAAAAGCAGGAAAAGGTCACAGTTGATATGTGGAGTGGGGTGGGGGGTCCTAAAGCAGTGTGAAACAATTTTAGCAATTATCAGCTCAGTCAATTTCATGTAAAATTAGCAACAATTATATGATATATTAATAAATATAAATACTGATAAATCAACAACTTATGAATAATCCCTCACACGTCATACAGTGCTCCTTTGTGTTCATGGTTTATAAAATTTACTACTTTGTCACAGATTAAATAATCCACAACACATAAATTTGCAAGACAGTACATTAGACCTCCTGAGCAGCAATTTTACATYGTAAATTACTTTTCTACAAATCCTAATATTCCAAATAGTTAACACTGTGTTTTTGAAATGTTTGAATGTTTTAACTCTTAAAATTTTGAAAGCTATCTTTCTGTGCAAAAATCCCCTCACAGGCCTCAGCATTGTGTGGCAGCTTCTAATAAGCAAACCGTCTACCTTTAGGTTTGCCCGGTTGCTCAGACAAAAACAGGCAAACTGGATGWGAACAGTTCTCTGACGAGAGCAAAAATGTTTAATCGATTGAGTCATTTTGAAAATCAGTCCTGCAAGCCTGCTAAAAATAATTAAGCACAGTCAGTTCATGTTTCTTTACCTGATTTGGGACAAGACTATGCAGAGCTAATATTACACAAAATAWCAGTTCAAATTTACCCAAGATCTTTTTTTTTCAGCATATGTATTTTTTTGTCTTTTTGCCTCAAAATCAAGCATTTAACACTTTCTTCCAATAAAGAATTTTTTTTCCAAACATCTTTCTAAATCTTTGTATTAGTCTACATTTCTGAATAAGCACCTATAAACCACACTTTTTTCAGAAGAAAAAAAAGGTATTGTGGTTGCAGAGGAGAGTTACTTTTGTGTCTTTGTTTTTCGTTGTTTGTTTCAGCATACATACTTGCAGATTTGAGGAAGAAAAATAGTGAAAATAGCAATGGAAATTCCCAACTCTCACTGACAAACTGCAAAGAAAGAGAAATTCTCACTCATTAAGATGAATTAAAGCAAACTGAAGTTCATTTGAGTGCACTTTTACTACACTGAGTATTTTTTTAATTGAACAGTGTCAGAAAGGAATTCGTTTCTTAAACACAGCAATACATTTGAAACATGAGGCTAAAATATAACCCACTCCATGTTTATGTGCCCCCCCCCAAAATAAAACCCAACACTGTCCTCATCTGGCCAATGGGTTGAGGGTGGTTTATGTTATTATTGCACAGGTGTGGGTCTGGTCCCTCAGGGTTCCATTAAAATGATGCCCCTTTCAACGGTGGCTCCATTTGCTCTTTAGATTTAACACAGGCCATATGTCTAGCAGGAGGTAAACAGCTGAAGGGGTTTAATTGACAAAAATCAACATATTTGGTCGAGTGTGTGATGAGGTGCTAATGGTGGGTGTGCCTGGGCATCAGGAGATCGCTTTAGGGGTCAATTATGTATCAGAACGTGATTTTGAAACGGGGGTGGGGGGTGGGATGAGACGAATCAATGATAGGAGGTTTAAAGAGGCTAAATATAGAAAATAGAATGAAAACCTTGCAACTTGGCTTAATTTAAGGTTCATTTTGTAAATATCTTTTTTTTCATCTATTGTGCGGCCACTGCTGTGTGCCGAGTGTGAAGCTCATGKCTCATCTTTCCTCACACAAACTCTCCACCAGGCTACAGGAAAACTGTGTGAAATGAAACTAGTGTTCTGTGAAGGAAGACCTATCGCCTGCCGCCTTGCGTGCCACAGATTTACACAAAGATCTGGCCCAATCTGTTAGCCCTCAGAGTTGAAGATGACTCTCAGCTACCACCGCACCAAGATGTATGTCAGAACAGACTGCATTATAGACAGTTTTGTGTTCGMCAAGGTGGATTATCTGTGGTGGCCGTATTGAATCAAGATGAATCCAAAAGTTAATCTTTTCGTTTAATGATTGAGTAAAAGTGARTAGGTGGTTGTAGAGATATTTCGTTGACACAGACACACACAATAATTTCGATTGCGCGGCTCATGGGTGACAAATCACCCCCATCATTGTGCTGGTTTCAGCTCAGGAGTCCAAAACAAATTTTCCATCTCACACAAACCACGTAAACTTAATTTGTTGTGATACACAACTTTTTTTGGCGCTCATTTAACCGAAACGTATTTACCGAAGAGATTTCAAATTGGGAAATTCCTCAGCGCACAACCCCATCAAYGGCCTTCAACATCACAGGAGGGTCAGACTTATAAAGCCTCTTGATCTTTTTCTACAACATGATTAATCCTCCTCACACAATGACCAGTCTTAAATAGAGCCTATATGTTATTAGGTAGCCCTGGATGGCACTTTAGCTTCACTCTAATTAGCATTCTGATCAGAGACCTTAGAGACAGCCCCTCCACCACAGAGGAAGGACAGAGGCTGGGATGGCGACACACTGAAATGTCATTAACTTCATGTTAATTACTAATTAATGGGGCTTTTTTCATTTACATGTATCTCTAGCTCTCTGATGGGCCCCAGCTTTTTACTAGGCTACTCTTAGCAGCCAACAAGTTGGGGGAGGGTTTAATTGCCTCGCTCTTGTGGTCTCCCCTCAGTGTTTAATTCCCGCTAATTAAATAGTGGGCCACACTMGTCATGATGGTGTCCACTTTTACAACGCCCCGTTCTGACCGCCTCTTTAACATCATGGCTGGACCAAACTTTCCATCTGACACCCATTTCACTTYCCAGCTCACTCCACCCCTGACTCCTTCAACGACTTGTTACTTTCATTCACTTGTGACACCTCTCCCTTTTTTCCTCCTCCTCCTTCGTCGCCACTCAGCGAGCCACAGAGCCGCCCGTCTCCATGACAACCTGAGCCGCTGTGTCCCAGGAGGAGGCTCGGTTGACTAGCGTTTGGCCGTTCACACGTGGGCAGTGCCAGCTAGCCAACATGGCACGCAGCATCCTGCCATATGGTGCCACCACATACGTCCTGCTGGCCCCACACCCGGGATCTGGGCGTGTAGTGAGCTGCTGGTGTGAACATGACAGCCCGGCACCAGAACCTGTTCACCAGCTGATCCAGGCAGAACTGGACGAGTCTGTAGTTTCTTTAAAAAAGAAAAAGGAAGGAAGCAAAGAAAATGCCCCTTTTTAACTTTAAAGTCAGAAAAAGTTACTCCGTGAAGATGCCAAGAGTTGCCGCAAAGTGTTCTTGACAAAAAAAAAAAGTTCAAGCTCATCATGTYGTTCCGCTGAGGGTTTCTGTTCTGGACTGCTAAAGACTGTGGGAAACGTGCTCTCCTCATTCTTGACACTGTGCTGCCTCTCTGTGGAACTACAGAGAAAATACAAGCACATCGATGTAAGCAAAATACAACTTTATTCAAAATGGAACGCTTTAAGAATCACAGTACTGCATATTCTTGTATTATAACATTCTTTTAGGTAAATTATAACCGTTATGGAAACAGGTTTTCAGGAACTTACATTAAGATGTTGGTTAAATGTTTAGTCATTATGTGGGTTTTTAAGTGCTGCAATTTGTCAGTAAAATAAGAAAAAAAGGACGAGATGTTTAGGAAGCTCRTACAGTATAATATATGACAAATATTTTAAGAATGTGTTGGAAAGACTGGATGGTTTATTRTTATTTCATTTAAATAAATACACTTCATGGTCTCTATAAATCTATGCATTGACAAAAAAAAAAAAAATAAAATTAAATATAAATATAATTATTGTAAATACAACTGTCAGCAAAAACATAAAAACCAACCAAATCAAAGAAGATGAAACGTTTCAGAGACTAGTCATGGTTATGCAACAAAATAAAAAAATAAATACTCATTCTGCTTTTAAGTGACTATAAAACCTCAGGAAAAGCTGGGGAAATCAGTCCATGTATAATGAGCTACAATTTGTTTTATTTGCCTTGTAGCCCTGACATACAGTATGTAGTAAGAAGTTAAAACTAAATACCATAATTGTTTTGGAGATAAAGACCGGGATTAAAAATAAAATAAATGTGAAAATCAGTCAGTTTACATTAAATCTAAATAATTCCATGTGGCTCAAATTTGTGTTAAGTTTGATTTGATAAATTAAATAAAAAGAAATTAATTTATTAGGTTCCTTTAGTTTGATGCCAGAATTTAAAGAGTTACAATACAATGATCAAATGATTGTTTATGATATTATCAACTAAATTAATGTGTTAATTTTACTGCTTTATAGGAGTCTATTCTTTAGCATTAGTGGCTGAAGATGTATTTTCTCAAAAGAAAAAAAGGAACCGTGTCTAAAAATTAGCCACAAGTTAGCAGGTGTCTGTAACAGCACTTAACATGTAACATTGCTTTTATGTGCTTCTCTAGAATAAATCAATATTATGAAAAAAAAAAAAAAAAAAAAAAAAAAAAAAAAAAAACACTTTACAACAATGGCTACAAGTCAGTGACACATTAAATGAACCACTATTGTAGAACGAAGGACAGTTGAATAAAATACACACTCACTGATAAATTGACCTTTCTGGTACCAGGTTGGGCTCCTATTGTCTTCAAAACTGCCTTAATCAGATTCAACAAGTTGTGGGAAATATTCCTTTAGCTTTAGATCCTGATTGACAATAAGCATCACGCTGTTGGTGCAGCCTCCAGATAATAATGTAATAACGTGAATCTCTCTCCCGTTCCACCACATCCCACACATGGACAACTGGATTGAGATCTGGTGAAYATTGAGACCACTACAGTTCAATGAATCAAGACTCATCAGAGCAGGTGATGTTGTTCTAAATGAGCCACAGTTTCCTGTTCTTAGCTGACAGGAGTGGCACCTGGTGTGCTCTCATGCTGCTTTAGCCCATCTGTTTCAAAGTGTGATGTACTGTGTGTTCAAAGATTCTGCAGATCTTTGTATCAATCATTGATCTGTGCGTTGATGATCACAAACACTGTGCTTCCTAGATTTGGACTTTTAAACAAGGTCAATAAATACAATCAGCATTTTGAAGGTCGAATCAAATTTGCTACAAAAAATGAATCAGTATGGATTCTTGTGTCTGCTTAACACCAAAAACAAATATAAAAGCTTATTTCTCTTAGTAAGGCAGAAAAGTAATTACAAAGAAGGACAAGTTTTACAAAGTACAATGACTTATAATCAATACTATGCAACAGCAAAACACATTTTGCTACAATTTTGCAGCTCAAATGAGGCACAAAATAATAACTGCATAGATATAAARGTCACAAAACAAGTATCAAGATTAAACAAACGGTGAAACATTCATTCCCATATTCAGTTTGAATTATCCAGCTCATAAGCTGCTAAATACTCTGTATTTGCACATTCAATTAACCCCTAGTCCCAACATTACTTCCAATTCTGTTGCAATATTCAAGTGTAATAAAAAAATGGACTTCTGTATTTAAAGCAATTTTTAAAATGAGAGCCCATGAGTCTGGCAGCATCACACCAAAGAACTGAGCTATTTCCAACTCCACTATTTTTACTTCCTGTTTAGTGCCTCTGTAACAAATGTTTTAAGAGTAAATGATAAAGACTGTATTTTTTAAATGGGAAGTTGCATTTTTTGCTCATCTGCCTGAGCAAGTAACAATAATGATGAGCTTATCTTCAATGGAATAATAGTAGAATGAAAAACAAAGTCCATTTTGGTTGTCTCTACCACACTGACAGCTCTAATCTAGTTCTTCTTTTAAAAGAAGAAAAAAAATACTTCTGATACTCAAATAAATATAGTACTGAAAATAATTTATTGAGGTATGTTTTATTAGACCCATTTACATTGAAAAAAATAATAATTACTAACCTTTGGTCTGATAACTCGCAACATATTATTTAATAATGCACTCAGCTGAAGCACGGCTGCCATAAAGCTTTCCATTACCCTTCAGGTAAATGACTGGGTGAATTTGAAACCATAAAGACAGGGACTACAGAAGTTAACACTGAGTTCCTGCCAAGTAATCTGAGGGTAGTGAGGTGTCACTCAAATATTTCTCTCAGGAGTAAATGGGTCATTCTACAGAACGACAGAGTTTGAACACTCACACTTCTTTTGTAACAGGGTAAAAAAAATAAAGACTAGTTTTGTTTATCACAGGTGTCAGACAGTCATCACTGTGACAGCTCCTCGCTAAACCAGGAAGTTATAGCTTCCAGATAATCTCTGTGCTTTTATTTATAGCACCAGCAGAGCCTAAAGTAAACAGTTTCCCTGCAACTGTTTAATCACCGCACAAGCTGGGAGCTGGAGGTTGTACAGGCGCTTTCTTCCTTCCCTGAACCAGCAGAGAAACTTCTAATTCTAGGACTCAAATCTGCAGCTGCATCAGGATTGTTCAGTCAGGATTGTTCAGTAACACATGCTCTGCTGTGTGCTTTTCAGTAACTCTCTTTTTTTTTATTCAGTAACCAGACAGAGCCAATCAAACTCTAGTCTGCAGGTTTTCTCCACGTGCTTTTTGCTACCTTCTGGACAGCAATCCCAGGTAGATGTTCAAGCTGCAAATTGTCCCAACTCACATCATGTTTCTGGAGGGAAAAGTACTCTCTCGCCCCAACTGGTGATTCAGATGTGAATGTTGTGGCGGAGCTTACTGGAATCGATATCGACTCGGCGAGCTTCAGCGAAAGCCAAGAAGGTGCAGAGGCCCAGCAGGTTGAAGGTGGTGATGAGTGCAAACATTGACGCCCACGAGCCTGTCGCCTCGATGAGATACCCCGARAAGTACACCATCAAGACTCCTGCAAAATACCAACCAAAAATAACGACATTAAAGCATTTGGTCGTCAGGTTAGAAACSAAACAACATCCTTCATGTGAGGCAAGGTTCRTTTTTTTTATTAATGCAAATAACCATGGAGTAAAAAGGCTATTGTATTTTATACTCCCTTCAGAGTCACCATCAACTGTCACCGCTTGCTTTGTTTTATTCATACAGATTTTATTATATTGTCCCTTGATGAAATATGCATGGCACATGAGAGCCAGAGCACCTGACAGCGACACATCATCCCAAACTTTGAATTGACAAAAGGGAAACCTTTCACTTCAATCCACAGCGTTTGGCGACAGCTGCTAAAAGATTCCAAATAATCATTTCTGCATCAGCAGAAACTCACCTGAGAATGCCCCACATGTATTCATGACACCTGAAAAAGGGAACCCAAGATTATGAGAGTATGTGATTATAAGATGCAATATTTATCAGGCAATTCAATTTTTAGCTTTGAATTTTTAAAAGAATATTTTTTTTACTTACCAAACAGAGCTCCAGCACAGGAAGGAGCAAGATCTTGAACATTTAAAGAAACACCACTGTAACAGAAATGCATGTTCTTAGCAATGTTGTCATAAAAAAATAAATAAATCACATGATAAGTCAAGCTTGTATCACCGTCCTCTCAGCAATTTAACATCCCACTTTCAGTGACTGTATCTCTCTTTCAGTTTGTTTTACCACGTATTAAAGCCAAAATTGTACACATCACACCACTTCATTTGGGTAAGTTTAAAATGGGGATAAACTACAACACAATTTACATTGTTAGATATTTAACAAATAAAAAGCTAAATGTAGAAACAATGTGAGAGCCAGTAATTAGATGAAGTATGTGTACATCCTTATCAGTTAAACTTGACAAAACCTGTTGAAAACTATGTTAAATGTTTAGATTTTTATAATTAAAAAGGAGATTATAGAGAACCCTAAACCACTGCATGTCCTCTCKTTGGTCTTGGCAGCAACTCCCTGCAACCAAGGTTGGACTTTTCAATAAAGCTTGTTTGTCCATAAAACCAATAAATGTGTCAGGATTGTCTAAATACATTCATAAAGCCAGAGTTATTAACAAAAAGGCAATTTTCCGCCAATATCAGATTTTGTATTTTTCCTCTCCAGGATACGTAAACAAGGGCTTGATTCCCTTCCCTCTCCCCGTGTCATCCATGTGGGAGCAGTCTGAGGGCCGTGAGGAGGAAGGGGAAACTCTGAACTCTAGTGAACTGAGCACTAGACGATGAGATCTGGTCTCTGGTGGGCCTTGGATCGATGCCAGCACAGAGAATTAACCTAAAACGTCACTGGCCCCACTGAATCCCGCTCCAGTCTCATGTGTTTGACCCCCCCCCCTCCCCCTCTAGTGAGTCGTTTTTAAGTGCATATGATTCTGTATTTACGAGTAAATATAAGATCAGGGCAACGTTTTTTAACTCACCTATCCTATTGTGTTTTTCCAAGCTGCAAAAGGTAGCGCGACCATGTTGCGCAAGACCTGTTCATCCGTTCCCCCATGTTTGTCATGTGTGTCTTTCTTTTGAACGGGTGTTCTTAACTGCAATTTCGTTCTGCATTGCATCTCTGATGCTGTGTGTGAATGACAACAAAGCTGATTCTGATTGTTTTTATTTCATAATGTTTGGATTGGTTAAATTATGCAGATAGATTATTCCCTTTTTAAGCATTTTTTTTCCTTGTTAATCATAGAGCCAAAAGCTGTTCCCCCAAAAAGTGTAAAAATAACTCTGCTGTGCACACTGTAAATAACAGTGCATATTCATTACCAGGGAAGTGGTGTAATACATTGCATGCAATAATAATCAATGTTAAATGAGATCTTTGCTAAATTTTGGGTAAAGTTTGCTCAAACCATAGCAGAAATGTTTGACTCATTTTACAACTGCATGTAAAAGCTAATTATGTGGCTTTTTTAATAAGTATGTACTGTGTTTTTCCATAACAGGTAGGACACAATGTGAATTGTGGTTTCAGCAATTTTCCCAAGTGGTTAAGAAAGAAAAATCCAGCAGTCCAGACAACAAAATGAGTTTGAGCGCAGTTTAATAACCGTGTGCAAAATAAAAGTTGGAGAGTTGTCAAGGATAAATTGAGTCAAGTTTATTGATTTGGGACCTTGGATAAGAATATTGATCCCATAGGAAAGGATAACCTCTGCACCAGGTTTAGCCACTGGCTAATTTCCACTTACAATATCAGAGGCTAAATGCGTGTAAAATAAAGACATACAATAACATTATAAAACACAAGAGCAGAGGAAAAAACAAAGTTAACCCTTAAAAACCACCATAAATGTTGAGGAAGAAGTTGTTCTAAAAGTTTGTAAGAGCTGGAGCCAGTACCTGTGACTGAAGGTGGTGAGGCCCATCGTGGCTGATACAAATACTACAGCCAAGGGAAAGGTGGGGTCACCACAAAGGAGGACAGTAAAAACACTGCACACACCCATGGAGAAAAACTAAGAGGAAGGAAGAAATACAAAACACAAACATTTTACTGTTTGTAGAGATGACTAGAATGCACTTTGGATTGAGAATACAATCATTTCAAATCACGTACCTGCATAAGCTTCCTTACTGAGGCGGTGTCAAAACCTGGAGGGGTTTAAGCCAACACTGTGTCAATAACATGCATTTAAAAAAAGCTCAGATATCTTAAACTCAGGTTTTTTACCTTGGCGTATGAGGTGGTCAGAGAGGCAGCCGCTAAATAGAGATGAGGGTATTGCCACCAACCAAGGAATGACATTAAACACCCAGCCCTGGAGAAACAACACATTTACAAACTCATCTGTTTTATAATGGAGTCTCAGAGTTTTTTTATCACTCCCATTTGAAGAGAAACAGGAAAAACGTTTCACAGATTTGAGTCAGTACCATTAAGCTCAGGCATTTTAGAAAACAAAGAGGTAAAGGTGAGTTAAAATCTTAAGCTGAGACAGATATTATAATAAAGCTCCCGTCTTTCTCAGTTTTATCTGCTACGGAGTATGCGTTTTGTTTTCTTGCAAATGGAAAAGGTCAAGYGTAGGATGTGAAGGAGCATGAGAAGCTCATTGTTACCTTGGCATCAGGGAAAGTGTCTTTAAAGAACATTGGCAGCCATGACAACAGAGTGAAGAAAGTGCTTGCTGTGCAAAGGTGCGTCACTATCACGGCGCTGAGGAGAGAGTCAGGAGACAAACAATTAGTTACACCTGAGAATGCCGAGACGTTTTCAGCAAAGCCTGCTCAGTTTTGCTGACAGTGCTGGATTTGTTACAAATAACACTGAAMTGATTTGACAGATGCCTGTCTTGTGTCGCTTTCCTCCGTTCCTTTCTTCACACACCCAACTTTAAAATGCAGGCCGTAATTACCCAACGGTGAGTTAGCGATTCAAGCCCAAAGGCAAAGAAAACATCTAATATTTAATCCCTGAGGTGAATGGAATCAAACCAAAGCATTAAAGGTCACCCTGTCAGTGGAGCACATCATGCATACATAGATGTTGGAGGTGTGATGGTGCATGCATCCATACTGTGACAGTGTGGGACAAACGTTTAAGGCCAGAATGTGAATTAGTCAACAAATGTGTCAGTCACAGTGATCGCGGAATGCTGTAGCTGGAAGTGAAATGAGCGTTAAATGTATGGCAAGCAGTTTAACATAAAGTAACAGGTGCTTTCAAAAATACAGAGGCAAGACATTCATTTATGTAATCAATATCCCTGATTTCAAGCATCAAATACGGTTGATTTCTTTTAATCTGTTCTTATCGTCAACAGTTTGTTGAAAAGTTGTTTACTTGGTGGGAATATAGTAGTTATGACAATAAAATTCTTATGCTCAATAAGAATTTATATAAATAAATTTTATTTATATAAATA